GGTTTAGGTTATGCTAGGTCGGGTTATGTTATGTTAGGTTTAGTTTAGGTTAGGTTTAGTTTAGGTAGGGTAGGTTTAGGTTAGGTTAGGTTAGGTTTAAGTTAGGTTTGCGAATTATTCACCACTTTATGGTTCATGCAAAGACGAACGTGAAAGTTGGATCGTTAGTCCGAGAAAAGGTTGTATAATATGGTGTGGACTTTTGGCGACGTTGAATTTTTCAGAAGTGATAGAACTTGACCTATGGAAGTAAATTGGATATAGGGCCATTTAAAAAACATTCAATATGGGTGTCATTTCCAAGATAGCCGCCGCACAGTGCATGAGGTATTCTAATTATGCTTCACAAACATGTAATTGTTTTGAGAATCATAAAAGATAAGTTAAACGATACAAAAGATTAAAAAATACTAATTATTTGAGATTAATATTATTATTTTATGATAATTTATGATTATGATTCTCATTAATCAAGTATATCTAAATCATAATGGATTATTTTATGAGCATAAGTTATTAAGGTAGTCGATACAATGGATTATTAATGTTCTTATAAATCAAATAACGTTCATAAGACTGTCTCAATTGTTTTATTTACATGATGAAAATTATAAGGTGGTAACGAATTCATGACCTCAACTGTACACACGACACGAGTATCAGACAAAAGTTTCTAGTCTCCCAACTTTTGTCAGCTAATGCCGATCACAGTCCACCACTACATCTACACGTGCTGGTACATTCTACTTCTGCCTTTACACACTTGCAGTCCCTTCTGTGGCCCTTTTCTGGTTGATATCCACATGATCAAATTAACTTCTGAATTGACTTTGTTGCTTCTCCGATGTGACCCATGAGGCCTCAGTAGGCTGGAGAAGGTAAAGCAGGATCGAGTGGCCCCAACAATAACCAGCTTAGAGTGTTCAACTACAGCTGCATATGTTGGTGCTATACTTCTTCATCTTCTGGTAAACAGGTCCTTCCGTGCCCCATTGACAGTAAACAGGTCCTTCCGTGCCCCATTGACAGTAAACAGGTCCTTCCGTGCCCCATTGACAGTAAACAGGTCCTTCCGTGCCCCATTGACAGTAAACAGGTCCTTCCGTACCCCATTGACAGTAAACAGGTCCTTCCGTGCCCCATTGACAGTAAACAGGACCTTCCGTGCCTCATTGACAGTAAACAGATCCTTCCGTGCCCCATTGACAGTAAACAGGACCTTCCGTGCCTCATTGACAGTAAACAGATCCTTCCGTGCCTCATTGACAGTCATACAAGTGCCCGTTCTGTCGCACATTAAGCCGACAAAGTGCTCTATGGCAGACAAAATCACTTCCACTTTGTCTCAGTACCAAGAATGCTGTATTGACCTAATCTCGAGCTTTCTATGTCGTCCATGCAATGTGTTTGTCTCTGCCTGCATAAAAGTTGTTTGGTCACATCCCGTAAAGGCGTGAAATGCAGTAAATTATCTTGATTTTGCAGGTCCAATTTTTCCAACAACATCATGGACAGGTACAGTACATATCTGGAAATCTTGCCAGTTCCTAACGCAATCCAAAGCTCGCTGAGGCCCAGATGTTGAAGCATGGAAACGGCTATGACGATCACTTCTCTGTTTACAGTACTAAGCATGATTTTCGTGTATCAGTGTTTTGCACATTCCACTTCATGAAGGAGAAGTCTACTATATGTTTCTTCGTGTGAATATGGAGACAAATTGCTGGTATCCCTGTCTAGGCTGTAGAGAACATTCTTTCCCTGCGTTGAGACTACTTACTTGTCTCCAGAACGTAATGTCTTGGACAGACCTGCTAGAAAATGATAAAGCTTTGCATTATTTCCCTCTTCCTTGAGAAATGCATTCCAGTTTCCAGGAATCTTGTTGTCTGGGTGAGCTCGCCTTCAGACACCTCTCCTTCTTCTTCTCCTGATACATTATTTCGAGCCACCAGAGCTATATTCATCCCAGATGAGGTCAAGCCTCTTGCTCTCATTCTGCAGCTGTCACATCGAGTATTTCATAAAAACATTTTCTCCATATTTAAGAAAAGTTTTACAAGCACCTGGTTTTAAAAAGTTCACAGCAACAGCTCCACGAGAAGCAGAACTTGGCCATCATGAGGTACTTGAAGGTTTATCACCAAGCTTTCCATGATTTACGCAAGATCAGATTTTTATACCTGATCGTAACTCTCATATTTGGGAGAATGGACGACTGGTTTTCATGACATCAAAACTCATCAAGACTATCACCCCGAGCCTGGCAATACACGTAGAGCTGTGAGAAGAGACCACAGTTTTTCTTAAGTGAGTCAATATTTGGCTTATCCTTTGATAATTGGATCAAAGAGAAATTTAGTTTTCTTAATGATTCGATCCTCCACAATGCGAGATTCTTTTTTCCAACCTGTCTCACGCCAACAGATCCTAGCGTTCTTCCGTAAATAGATTTCCCATTTATCAATCACAGTAAGCAGTGTTGTTACTTGTTTCTCAAATGTGTTGTGAATACTTTTTAACCTGTTCGTGGTGTTGCATACTGATTGAGTGATGAGTTTCCTATGCAGCGTCAACCTCACCAATCATCCTTGTTATTTCTGGACCATCCATCCAAGTAATTCAGAGCAGTTTTCAGTTAGTCTAATGGTTCCTCCGACCCTTGTGACACTCCTGCTTCGTGAGATTTATGTACTACAAGGCTCCTCTCACTGTGGCTGCTTCCGTTAAAGACTGAGCCTATCACACAGGTGGGCTGGTAGGGAACAGTGTGGACGATCTGAAGCAAAAAACCATGGAACGATTTTTTTAAAGCATGTTTGTACAGCTGGAAAACGCCTTCACACAAAGACTACACGAAAGTTTAATCATCCAACTCATAGCCTAGTAGATCTTTTATCAGAATTCATTCGTGTAATGTTAGAGTTTCAGTATTTTAACACATAATCTACAGTTTATAAAATGGCGGCCATCTTGAAAATGATAGCTATATTGGATTATTTTAAATGGCTCTATATCTATTTTTATTCAGCTAGTAAAAGTTTATATTCTCTGAAAATGTCACAATTGTTTCCTAAAGTGTGCACAATTCATTCACCATTTCCCATTTTCCTGGACTACCTCAAATATTTGGTGTTCGTACAACGTGAAGACCCGGAGTCACGGATGAGGAAATGGTCTCTTCTGTAGTGTGGGAAACATACATACATACATACATACATACATACATACATACAAAATAGAGTGTGTGGAACTCCTCTCCTCAATACAACCTGTTTTTATTAGCTCTCACTCACAAGTACTATCAGGGTGTTGTAATAAACTTGTCCTCATAACGGCAACCAGATACTCAAGTGTTCTTATGTTGGATATTCGTCGTGTGAATGTGTACCTGACTGGTGATGACTGTATCTAACTGGTCATGGGTGTATCTAACAGGTCATGAGTGTATCTAACTGGTCATGACTGTATCTAACTGGTCATGAGTGTATCTAACTGGTCATGAGTGTATCTAACTGGTCATGAGTGTATCTAACTGGTCATGAGTGTATCTAACTGGTCATGAGTGTATCTAACTGGTCATGGGTGTATCTAACTGGTCGTGAGTGTATCTAACTGGTCATGATGTATCTAACTGGTCATGAAATTATCTAACTGGTCATGAGTGTATCTAACTGTTTGTAGGTCATCGTCCAATCGTTTATTACTTCACCACCACCAGTTACCTTCTCCACCACCACCAGTTTTTATTCACCACCACCAGATTACCTTCACTCCACCACCTCCAATTACCTTCACTCATCAACAATTCCTTCACTCCCACCAGTTACCTTCTCCCACCTGCAGTTACCTTCACTACTACCAGTTACCTTCCTCCCACCACCACCATTGGGACTGATACAAATCTCAGTACCATGACCTGTTGCTGAGTACCGTGAGTGTTGCTGAGTACCTGACCTGTTATTGAGTACCATAAGTGTTGCTGAGTACCATGACCTGTTGTTGAGTACCTGAGGTGTTGCTGAGTACCTGACCTGTTGCTGAGTGCATGACCTGTGTGTTAGTACCATGACCTGTTGTTAGTACCATGAGGTGTGCTGGTACCATGACCTGTTGTTGAGGTACCATGAGGTGTTGCTGAGTACCATGACCTGTTGTTGAGTACCATGAGTGTTACTGAGTACCATGACCTGTTGAGTACCATGACCTGTTGTTGAGTACCATGAGGTGTTGCTGAGTACCATGACCTGTTGTTGAGTACCTGAGGTGTTGCTGATACCATGACCTGTTTGTTGGTACCGGCGGTGTTGCTGATACCATGACCTGTTGTTGATACCATGACCTGTTGCTGAGTACCATGACCTGTTGTTGAGTACCATGGGGTGTTGCTGAGTACCGTGACCTGTTGTTGAGTACCATGAGGTGTTTGCTGGTACCGCGACCTGTTGTTGAGTACCATGAGGTGTTGCTGAGTACCATGACCTGTTGTTGGAGTACCGTGAGGTGTTGCTGAGTACCATGACCTGTTGTTGATTCGCAAGGTGTTGCTGGAGTACCATGAGGGTGTTGCTGAGTACCATGACCTGTTGTTAGTACCATGAGGTGTTGCTGATACCATGACCTGTTGTTGAGTACCATGAGGTGTTGCTGAGTACCATGACCTGTTGCTGGTACCGTGGTGTTGCTGATTACCATGACCTGTTGTTGAGTACCAGAGGTGTTGCTGAGTACCATGACCTGTTGTTGAGTACCATGACCTGTTGCTTGAGTACCATGACCTGTTGTTGAGTACCATGAGGTGTTGCTGAGTGACCATGACCTGTTGTTGAGTACCGAGATGTTGCTGGTACCATGACCTGTTGTTGAGTACCATGAGTGTTTGCTGATACCATGACCTGTTGTTGAAGTACCATGAGATTGTTGCTGAGTACTGACTGTTGAGTACCTGAGGGTGTTGCTGAGTACCATGACCTGTTGGTACCATGGTATTGCTGAGTACCATGGTGTTGCTGATGCATGACCTGTTGTTAGTACCATGAGGTGTTGCTGAGTACCGCAGGTGTTTGCTGAGTACCATGACCTGTTGTTGCGTACCATGAGGTGTTGCTGGTACCATGAGGTGTTGCTGAGTACCATGACCTGTTGTTGAGTACCATGAGGTGTGGGGACCTGATTGCCTTCAAAACACACACACACACACACACACACACACACACACACACACACACACCCCGAAATTGTGCCTCATCGTCGACCTCCTCCTCCTCCTCTTCTTCCTCCTCCTCACTATAATCTCCTCCTCCTCCTCCTCTTCTCCTCCCCACCACCTCCCTTCCTCCCAATGTACCTATCACAAAGAGAATAGCAGGAAAGGTAGTGATCTTGCCGGGTACCACAACAGCCCTCAGGTACCACAACATCGCTTGGTTATCCTACAGCCCTTGGGTGCCACCACAGCCCTCGGGTACCACAACAGCCCTCAGTACCACTACAGCCCTTAGGTACCACTACGCCTTAGGGTGCCACTACAGCCTTGAGTACCACTACAGTCCTTGGTGCCACTACAACCCTTGGGTACCACTACAGCCCTTAGGTACCACTTCACAGTCATGGGTACCACTACAACCCTTGGGTACCACTACAGCCCTAGGTACCACAACAGCCCTCGGGTACCACTACAGCCCTTGGGGACACTACAGCCCTCCGGGTACCACAACAGCCCTCAGGTGCTGCCACACAGCCCTTGGGTATCACTACGGTCCTTGGGTACCACAACAGCCCTCAGGTGCCACTACAGCCCTCGGGTACAACTGCAGCCCTTGGGTACCACAACAGCCCTTAGGTACCACTACAGCCTCGGGTACCACAACAGCCCTCAGTTCCACTACAGCCCTTAGGTACAACAGCCCTCGGTACCACTACAGCCTCGGTGCCACAACAGCCCCTCGGTTTCCACAGCCCTTGGGTACCACAACAGCCCTCGGTACCACAACAGCCCTCAGGTACCACAACAGCCCTCGGGTACCACACTACAGCCCTTAGGTACCACTACAGCCCTCAGGCTACAGCAGCTCTCCGGAACCACTACAGCCCTCAGGTACCACAACAGCCCTCAGGTACCACTACAGCCCTTGGTACCACGCAGCCCTCAGGTACCACCACAGCAGCCCTCAGGTACCACAACAGCCCTCGGGTGCCACTACAGCTGGGTACCACTACAGCCGCGGTACCACAGCAGCCCTCAGGTACCACAGCAGCCCTCGGGTACCACAACAGCTCTCGGGTACCACTACAGCCTCGGGTACCACTACAGCCCTTGGTGCCACCACAGCCTCAGGGTACCACAACAGCCTCGGGTACCACTACAGCCCTTGGGTACCACTACAGCCCTCAGGTACCACTACACCCCGGTACCACAGCCCTCAGGTACCACAACAGCCCTCAGGTACCACTACAGCCCTCAGGTACCACAACAGCCCTCGGTACCACCTACAGCCCTCCAGTACCATGGCAGCCCTCAGGTACCACACTACAGCCCTTAGGTACCACTACAGCCCTCAGGTACCACAACAGCCCTCAGGTACCACACAGCCCTTGGGTACCACAACAGCCCTCAGGTACCACAACAGCCCTCGGGTACCACTACAGCCCTCGGGTGCCACAACAGCCCTCAGGTACCACTACAGCCCTTGGGTGCCTCAACAGCCCCTCGGTACCACTACAGCCCTTGGTACCACTACAGCCCTCAGGTACCACAGCAGCCCTCAGGTACCACTACAGCCCTTGGGTACCACAACAGCCCTCAGGTACCACCAGCCCTCAGGTACCACTACAGCCCTCAGGTACCACAACAGCCTCAGGTACCACTACGGCCTTGGGTACCACTACACCCCTCAGGTACCACTACAGCCCTCAGGTACCACTGCAGCCCTCAGGTGCCACAACAGCCCTCGTGCCACTGCAGCCCTTGGGTACCACAACAGCCCTCGGTGCCACTACAGCCCTCGGGTACCTGGCAGCCCTCCGGTACCACAGCCTCAGGTCACTGCAGCCCTTGGGTGCCACTACAGCCCTCAGGTGCCACTACAGTCCTCGGGTCCCCTACAGCCCTCAGGTACCACTACAGCCCTCAGGTGCCACTACAGCCCTTGGGGTACCACTACAGCCCTCGGGTCCCACACGGCCCTTGGGTACCACAACAGCCCTCGGGCCACACAGCCCTCGGGTACCACTAGCCCTAGGTACCACAGCTCTCGGGTACCACTACAGCCCTCGGGTACCACACGCCCTCAGGTACCACTACAGCCCTCAGGTACCACTACAGCGCTTGGGTGCCACTAGCCCTCAGGTACCACTACAGCCCTTGGGTACCACCAGCCCTCAGGTACCACAACAGCCCTCGGGTACCACAACAGCCCTCGGTACCACTACGGCCCTTGGGTACCACCAGCCCTCAGGTACCACAACAGCCCTCGGGTACCACAACAGCCTCCCGTTACCACTACAGCGCAGGCTTTACCAGCTACACTTGGTACCACTACAGCCCTCAGGTGCCACTACAGCCTAGGGTACCACTACAGCCCTCGGTGCCACTACAGCCTCGGGTACCACAACAGCCCTCAGGTACCACTACAGCCCTCGGGTACCACTACAGCCCTTGGGTACCACTACAGCCCTCAGTGCCACTACAGCCCTTTGGTACCACAACAGCCCTCAGGTACCACAGCAGCCCTCGGGTACCACTACAGCCCTCAGGTACCACTACAGCCCTCAGGTACCACAACAGCCCTCGGGTGCCACTACAGCGCATAGGTGCCACTACAGCGCGTTACCATGGCAGCCCTCGGGTACCACTACAGCCCTCGGGTACCACTACAGCCCTTGGGTACCACTACAGCCCTCGGGTACCACTACAGCCCTCAGGTACCACAACAGCCCTCGGGTACCACTGCAGCGCTTCAGGTACCACTGCGCTTGGGTACCACAACAGCCCTCAGGTACCACTACAGCCCTCGGGTGCCACTACAGCCCTCAGGTACTTCAACAGCCCTCGGGTACCACTACAGCCCTTGTTTCCACTACAGCTCTCGGGTACCACAATAGCCCTCAGGTACCACTACAGCCCTCAGGTACCACCTCAGCCCTTGGGTATCACTACAGCCATAGGTATCACTGCAACCCTTGGGTACCACTAGAGGCCTTGGGTACCCGCAGCCCTCGGTTACCACAACAGCCCTCAGGTACCACTACAGCCCTTGGGTACCACAACAGCTCTCAGGTACCACATGGCAGCCCTCGGTACCACTACAGCCCTTGGGTACCACTACAGCCCTCAGGTGCCACTACAGCCCTTGGGTGCCACTGCAGCCTCAGGTGCCACTACAGTCCTTGGGCACCACTACAGCCCTCAGGTACCACTACAGCCCTCGGGTACCACTACAACCCTTGGGTATCACTACAGCCCTCGGGTACCACTACAGCCCTTGGGTATCACTACAGCCCTTGGGTACCACTACAGCCCTTGGGTATCATTACAGCCCTTGGGTATCACTACAGCCCCGGTACCACTACAGCCCTCAGGTACCACTACAGCCCTCGGGTACCACTACAGCCCTCGGGTCCCCACTACAGCCCTTCCAGGTCCCACTACAGCCTCAGGTCCCCTGCAGCCTCAGGTACCACTACAGCCCTCAGGGTGCCCTACGGCCCTCAGGCTCACACGGCCCTCAGGTACCACTACAGCCCTCGTGCCACTACAGCCCTCGGTTCCCACTACAGCCCTCGGCCCCCACTACAGCCTCCGGTACCACTACAGCCCTCCAGGTACCACTGCAGCCCTCAGGTCCCTGCAGCCCTCCGGGTCCCCACTGCAGCCTCGGGTCCCTACAGCCCTTCCCGGGTCCCACTACAGCCCATTGGGTGCCACCACACAGCCTTGGGTCCCTGCAGCCCTTGGGTACCACTACAGCCCTCGGGTGCCACTACAGCCTCGGTCCCCTACAGCCCCTCGGTGCCACTACAGCCCTCGGGTACCACTACAGCCCTCGGGCCCCACTACAACCCTCAGGTGCCTACAGCCCTCAGTTTTTCACAGCCCTCAGGTGCCACTACAGCCCTCGAGTCCCCTACAGCCCTCAGGTACCACCTACCCCCTTCAGGTCCACTACACTGCCCTCGGGTCCCCACTACAGCCCTCGGGTCCCACTACAGCCCTCAGGTGCCACTGCAGCCCTCGGGTACCACTACAGCCCTCAGGCCTACACTGCAGCCCTCAGGTACCACCACTGCCCTCAGGTGCACCACACAGCCCTCCGGGCCCCCTACAGCCCTCAGGTATTTTTAGCCCTCGGGTACCACTACGGCCCTCGGGTACCCTGCAGCCCTCGGGTCCCACTACAGCCCTCGGGTCCCACTACAGCCCTCGGGTCCCACTTCAGCCCTCGGGTCCCACTACAGCCCTCGGTTTTGTACTCCCAGGTACCACTACAGCCCTCGGGTACCACTACAGCCCTCGGGTCCCACTACAGCCCTCGGGTCCCACTGCAGCCCTCAGTTCCACTGGCCTCGGGTGTCTACAGCCCTCAGGTCCCACTACAGCCCCAGGTGCCACTGCAGCCCTGGGTACCACTACAGCCCTTGGGTCCCTACTACAGCCCTCGGTGCCACTACAGCCTCAGGTCCCTACGGCCTCGGGGGTACCACTGCAGCCCTCGGGTCCCCCAGCCCTCAGGTACCACTACAGCCTCAGGTCCCTGCAGCCTTTGGTCCCAGTCAGCCTCAGTATTCACAGCCCTCGGGTACCACTACAGCCCTCTAGGTACCACTACAGCCCTCGGGTGCCACAACAGCCCTCAGGTACCACCACAGCGCATGGGTGCCACTACAGCTGGGTGCCACAGCAGCCCTCGGGTGCCACTACAGCCTCGGGTACCACTACAGCCCTTGGGTGCCTACAGCCTCAGGTACCACTACAGCCCTCAGGTACCACAACAGCCCTCCGGGTGCCACTACAGCCTTGGGGTGCCACTACAGCGCTTGGGTACCACAGCAGCCCTCAGGTGCCACTACGGCCTCGGGTACCACTACGGCCCTCGGGTACCACAGCCCTCAGGTGCCACTACAGCCTTGGTGCCACTACAGCTCTCAGGGTACCACAATAGCCCTCAGGTACCACTACAGCCCTCGGGTACCACTACAGCCCTTGGGTATCTGCCAAGCCCTTGGGTATCACTGCAACCCTTGGTGCCACTAGAGCCCTTGGTACCGCTACAGCCCTCAGGTACCACAACAGCCCTCGGGTACCACTCATGCCTTGGGTACCACAACAGCTCTCGGTACCACAACAGCCTCAGTTTTCCACTATAGCCCTTGGGTACCACTACAGCCCTCAGGTGCCACCAGCGCTTGGTACCACAGAGTCGTTGGTACCACTACAGCCTTGGGTGCCACTACGGCCTCAAGGTACCACTTCAGTCGTTAGGTGCCACTACGGCCTCATGTGCTACAGCCTCAGGGTACCACTACAACCTTGGGTGTCACTGCAGCCTCGGGTGCCACTGTTTGGGTTTACAGCCCTTGGGTATACTACAGCCCTTGGGTATCACTACAGCCCTTGGGTATCACACCACAGCCCTTGGGTGCCACTGCAGCCCTCAGGTACCACTGCAGCCCTCGGGGTGCCACACGGCCCTCGGGTCCCCACTACAGCCCTCGGGTCCCACTACATCCTCGGGTCCTACTGGCCTCGGGTACCACTGCAGCCCTCGGGTACCACTACAGCCCTGGGCCCCACTGCAGCCTCGGTACTTCAGCCCTCGGTACACCAGCCTCGGTTCCCCTACAGCCCTCGGGTCCCATGCCCTCGGGTCACTACAGCCCTCGGGAACCACTACCACAGCCCTCTGGTGCCACTGCAGCCTCGGGTCCCCTGCAGCCCTCGGGTCCCACACCACAGCCCTCCATTTTTACAGCCCTCCGGGTCCCACTCAGCCTCGGGTGCCACTACGGCCTCGGGTCCCTACGGCCCTCGGGTACCACCAGCCCTCAGGTCCCACTACAGCCCCTCGGGTGCCACTGCAGCCCTCGGGTCCCACCTACAGCCCTCAGGTGCCACCAGCTCCGGGTCCCCACTACAGCCTTCGGGTCCCACCGGCCCTCGGGTCCCCGACTACAGCCCTCGGGTGCCACTACAGCCCTCGCGGGTACCACTTTCACAGCCCTCAGGTACCACAACAGCCTCGGGTGCCACTACAGCTGCATGGGTACCACTACAGCGCTTGGGGTGCCACAACAGCCCTCGGGTACCACTGCCTTTCGGGTACCTACGCCTCAGGTACCACTACAGCCCTTAGGTACCACTCAGCCTCGGGTACCACTCAGCCCTCGGGTTTTAACAGCCTCGGTACCACTACAGCGCTTGGGTACCTCTCAGCGTTGGGTGCCTGGAACCCTCAGGTACCTCAGCCCTCGGGTACCACTACAGCCTCGGGTACCACAGCAGCCTCGGGTGCCACTGCAGCCCTTGGGTGCCACTACGGCTCTCAGGTACCACAATAGCCTCAGGTACCACTACAGCCTCATTGGGTACCACTAGCCCTTGGGTATCACTACAGCCCATGTGTACGCTACAGCCTTTGGGTGCCACTAGAGCCCTTGGGTACCACAGCAGCCCTCGGGTACCACAACAGCCCTCGGTACCACAACAGCCGTAACTTCTA